CTCGGGCGGCTCGGCGGCTCGGCAACAACTGCGGCTCGCGACTCGGCGGCACAGGCAACTCGGCGGCTCCGGCGGCTTGGGCGACTCGGCGGCTCGGGCGGCTCGGGCGGCTCGGGCGGCTCGGGCGGCTCAGACGGCTCGGGCGGCTTCGGCGACTTGGCGGCTCGGGCGGCTCGGGCGGCTCGGGCGGCTCGGCGACTCGGCAGCTCGGGCGGCTCGGCGTGGTGCGGCGGCTCGGGCGGCTCGGGTGGCGGGCGGCTCGGCAGCAGGCGGCGGCACCGACGGCTCGGTGGTGACGGCGGGGCCGCATGGGGACGGCGGCAGGGCCGGCAGAGGCGGCACCGGGGCCGCAAAGGTAGGTGACGGGGCCGGGAAGGGGAGCGCCGGGGCCGCAGGTAGGCGACGGGGCCAGCAGAGGCGGGGCCGGGTCGGGAAGGGCGGCGCCAAGGCAGGGAAGGGCGGCGCCGGGGCCGCGGGGTAGGCGACGGGGCCACAGGGCGGCGGATCGGGGCCGGGAAGGGCGGCGCCAAGGCTGCGGGGTAGGCGACTGGGTCGCAGGGCGGCGGATCGGGGCCGGGAAGGGCAGCGCCAGGGCCGCGGGGTAGGCGACGGGGTCGCAGGGCGGCGGATCGGGGCCGGGAAGGGCGGCGCCGGGGCCGCGGGGTAGGCGACGGAGCCGCTAGGGCGGCGGATCGGGGCCGGGAAGGGCGGCGCCGGGGCCGCAGAGGTAGGCGACGGGGCCGCTAGGGCGGCGGATTGGGGCCACAAGGGCGGCTCGACGCAGCCGCTAGGGCGGCGCGACGGGATCGAGAGAGGGGAGCGCGACTCGGGCAAGCGGTGAGCGCGCTCCGGGCAGGAAAACAAAAATCGAATCGGTGGGCCCTAGGAACAGTTCCCACGAGGGAACCTGCTCGATACCATGAGAAAACTAGAACGAGAATGAATTGGACTATGCAAGAGTTGGTACAAGTACTAACCCTAATTGGGTTGTACCCCTTATGGGCTACCCCACTATAGCCTACACAAAATGCATAAGCTATGATGTTCTGACAGTTTGTCGAATTTCAAAAACTGTTCGTGCGCGATCGAATCGATCGGTGCTGCCCACGTATCAGGTATGTGCGGGGGACTTTCGAGTAGCGGGACTGGGAGATTCCAATATTGGGCGTCATCGTCGTTGAAATCGTGACGCATGCTGAACAGATTGTTGTTCGAGAACGCTCCTATGGGGTGATGTGCTGGCTCAGGTGACGGTGAGCATGCACGGGGACGATGCGATCCACTTGTTATTGTCATGTTCCCCATGACATTGCGGACGGGAGCCGATTGTGGCGGCTGCTGCTGCTCATGCTGAACCGTTTGGTTCAGGTTGCGCGAATGGGGTTGATACTCCTGGGCTGGACGCGAGTCGTTCCGTGCGTCTTGTCGACTGGACTTGGTGCTCGGATTGGTCTGGTGAGGGCGAGATCGGGACTTACATCGATCTGCCAGGTGCCCGAAGTTTCTGCACTTCTTGCAGCAAAGGCGCCGCGGCCGTCGCTCGTCACTGTTGTTGGCATAGAAGGCGAGGCGTTCCCGTTCTTGTGGCGGCGCTTGTCGCTGCTGGTCCATATCCCTTTGTTCGATGAGAAGGGCGGTGCATAGGGCGGCCTCCGAGATGATCCCCTGCTGTCGGAGAAGCGGCTTGCAGGGCCGCCACTCTGGGCCGAGCCCTTGGAGTACGATATTCACGAAAATCTTCTTGAAGATCGTGCTCCCCAGTTTCGCGATCTAATCGCGTAAGTTCCGGCGGCAGTTAAGGTAGGTGTTGGTCTTCTCCCCTGGGGCCATTCTTGTTTCCAGTAGCTGCTGGAGTAGGCGGCTCGATGAAACTGAATCATTCGGTTGGTATACGCCGTTCAGGTGGCGCTAGGGGTCGAGGGCTGGAGCAGGTGAAGTTTTGTATGAGCGAATGCTCGATTGCTCCTCCGGCGACATGTTCCGCAGTAGGACCCCGTACGCCATCAGGGACTCGTTCTAGTACCTCGTCTTAGCGTCGTCGGTGTCCTCAGCGGGTCCCGAGTAGCTCCCGTCGAAGTAGTGAAAAATTTGTGCGTTTTGCAGCAACAGCTCGAGCTCGAAGCTCTAAATATAGAAGTCTTTGCCGTCAAAGCACACACATGTGTGTGTGTGTGTGTGTGTTTTTTTTTGTTTTTTTTTTTAATGCTCAAAAGCCTTGATTGTGTCGAGAAAATTGCCTCTTCACTAGGATGGGGAGTTTTGGGAGTTGAGCCATTAGTGTCGAGGGAGAAGGTGTGCGGGGCGGTATTGTGGCCGTTTAAGGCCGGTTGAGAGGGTTGGGAAGAAGTTCCCGCATCGCCGTGCCGCAATGTTTGGAGTCCTTGCTCCAAGCTGGTGAGTCGCTAAAGCAGTTGTGCGAGGACAGCGGTTCCAATCGTCGCCGTTTCTTTGCTTGTCGCAGTCAGGATTAGGCTGCACTTCAGCCGTCAATTTGTCTGGCCACCAGATCCCCCGGTCATTCTCACATGCGAGCACATGCCGGACGCCACTTTCCGATCGTCGAAGATTTCGGGGGTGGCAGTGCAAAGGATTCCCGAGTCGCTCGCATACCATGTTGCGATCAGAATTTGATCGTCCCTAGGATCACCTCAGGAAGGTTCGCACTGTCAGAATGTTGTATTTGTCTAGCCTGCAGTGGGGTACTCCATAGCGGGTACAGCTTGTCAGTAGATCTGCACTGTGGATTCCCGATCGATCCTAGGGGGGGTTACTGGCGCGTTTGCCTGGGGGGTTATGGGCGCACTGACCCGCTACTTAATAAGCCCTTTTATCCCAATGGTCTAGTGGTTGGGATTCTGACATGATATTAGAGCGGTCTCGGGTTCGATTCCCGGTGTATGCACATGTAGGCCGTTGCCGCTGTGCTTAGTCCTGGGCCTCCCAGTGTGGGGGGGTGTTAGTAGATCCGCACTGTGGATTCCCGATCGATCCTAGGGGGGGTTACAGACGCGTTTTCCTGGGGGGTTATGGGTGCACTGACCCGCTACTTAATAAGCCCTTTTATCCCAATGGTCTAGTGGTTGGGATTCTGACACAGCCCAATCTAGGGTTTCCTGTATGTACTCAACTGCTTGCTAGTGCAACGCCTCTTTTCTTGTTTTAAACTTTCTGCTCGTTCTTATGACACGCACATGACTAGGTGTTGGTAGTGGGCCCTTGACCTCAATAGCAGAGTGAATGTAAAATGCTTTAGATGATTAAAACATGCAAATAAACGGATATAAATTAGAGTACAGGGGAATACGAAGCGACCTAGCTAGTCATGTACTATAAAGGGTACATTTCCTTATTACAGCGAAATCTAACAGTGCGACTCCAGATAGTAACGAAACTGTCGGGGGCAGAATCCTCGCCGCTGCTGCTGCCTGATGCAGTCTGCCCGACGGTCCAGATATTTCCGTAACCGCGCGACCCTTCGTGTTGCATCCGCCTTTTCGTCTTCAGCCTCGGTACTGTGTTCTTCGATTGCTGCGGTTAGGAGTGCACAGTAATGTCTCGATAATTACTATTCGTAACAATAATCACATTTTAGAAATTGACTTACGTGCACTCTTTCTGTTACAACTCATAAAGTCTGAACCACTTTCACTCATATTGCTTGGATGGCGAATCAACAAGAGTCAGGTTACCATGTTTGTCAACTCTTCAACTCCGTCGTTAGGATTACATTCGTTGATTTGGCGAAACCAAAATGCCCTAGCAGTTTTGTCTGGTCAAATTTGTGGTAACTAGCCACCCCGCGATGGCTTCCGTTTCACGCATGCAGTGTGCTTTGCGCAAAACCCGAAACCCGCCACGCTGTCTGTCCAGCCAGAAGCTGATCCTTCCGCACGCACTGGCTTTCCGCAGACGTCGCTCCTCAAGCCGCAGTCCCCCCTCCCATTTGCTTAGGGCGCGTCCCCTCCCTCGATCGATCGCGTGTCAACGAGAAAACCGATCGGGCACACCGATCGCAGGATTGGGGCGGGATTGGTAGGTGGTGACAGCCGCGGATCGATCGCGAGCCCTGGGTGACAGGTTCGAAAATACAAGGGGGGAAATCTCTCGATCCTACAAAAGCCGAGTTCGGTGTGGCCACAAAGGCACATCGATCGTCACCAGCGGAAGTGACAAGATCGTAGGACACCAGTTACTGTACATTTGCAAGCCGTCTCGAAATAAGGTTATCCTGTCAATTGCGACAATGTAGGCGTCCCTCGATCGATCGAGGGCAGGATCGATCGAGGGAGGGGACGCGCCCTTACAGTCGAAACTATTCTACTCACGTCCAAACCCAATTGGAATCATTCTAACCGAATCTAATAACACAGACGAGGGAATTGCAACCAGTTGTCGCGTGAATGGGAAGCTACGAACTCGAGAGGCGGGATCGACTCAACTTGACAGACTCAAGATTGACAGACTTCACTTCATCAATCAAACTCGCTATGCTAGAGGCGAGAGGGCTGTCCTGTTACTGACTGACTATAGTTCCCGCTCTTATCCTCCTTCCCTCGTTGCTTCTTCTTCACGCCTTCGTCTGGCCCTTCCGAGCCGCGTGTCTGCTTTGGCGCGCGAAACTCATGTCCCTGCAAGTTGCCTCGTCTCATCGATGGTAGTCGCTCTAGGGGCATCTGCTTCAGCTCACACGCAACGGCTCGTCAACTAGGGTGATCGTTCGAACTATAAAGGAAGGCAGTTTCGAAGAATGGCAGTCACCACGTGGCAGCAGTCGCCTGTAGCATTCCCGATCGTAGGTCTGCTGCATGCAACGTGCTTGGTGTTGCAATGTCACAACATTAGACACCCACAATGCGAAGCAGTGCCGTTTTCATTACCTGTTGGTAACTGCTCGTTGCTGCTCGGTGCAACAACGGTTGCACCCTGCTTACAACGGCCCTTGGCCACTAGATTCGACAAAGTGAAGCATGCTGGATCTACTTTCTTCTGCGGCGCTTAATATGCCCCTTCAGTCCGGTATTTTCGGTGGTCAGCCCTCCTTGGCTTCTGCACCGTTCGATCCTTCATTGGACAGCTCAGACGTCACTTTCGGCAATGCCACATCCGTGTTCAACCTGACGGCCATCCGTCTGCACAATCGGCCGGCATTCTTCCTCGCGCAGACAGTCATCAAAGCCACGCTCTCCCCTGCCTCCCCGCTTCATCCGCTCGCGACGACCGTCATTGACGCCGCGTCGCCCCTTCTGGACGGCATTCTTCGTCAGTATCTGCACAACGATTTTTTCGCAGGAAGCCTATGGCTCGTCGCGCTCGGGTTCATCAGCCGAACCCTAATGACCTACTTGCAGGTTCTATGGAGCTACGTAATTCGGCGCGAGAACGTCACCATCAGCATCTCTCCCGCAAGCCAGGCATTTCAGTGGGTGGAGGAGTGGCTCGACTCGCACAAGGAGTTAAAGCCATCGGAATACTCCCTGCAGATTAATTGGAATGACGATGACGGCGCGAATTCATCCCCCCCTGAAAAGCCTGAGCTTCGGTTCATGCCCAAACTCAAAGCCGCCCAGCACATCACCTTCAGGGGGTCGAAAGTTTTCTTTCAAACGAAAAACAGCCCCGGGCAGCTTGACAGCGAAGCAGAATTTTCAGAGCTCATCCGTTCAATGAATCAGGAGGAGCTGGTGATTGAAGCTCCCAGCAAGGCCGTGCTACAGGCGGTGCTGCAGGCCGCTACAGATGCAGCCATGGCGAAACGGCAGGAAGAGAAGCTGACAGCCATCCAGCGGTGGAACTGCCGGCAGTTCTGCTGGCGGTGGTCTGCGAACAAGCAGGTCCGTCCGATGTCCAGTGTGGTCCTGGATTGCGACACGTCAGCGCTGCTGGAGGACGCGCGGGAGTTTCTGGCTGGCGCCAAGTGGTACGCGGAGCGCGGCATTCCCCACCGGCGGGGGTATCTATTCCACGGCCCCCCAGGGTGCGGCAAGACGTCGCTGATCCAGGCCATGGCGGGCGAGCTGGGGCTGGGCGTCGCTGTCATCAGCCTCGCCTCGTCCGGCATGAGCGACGACTCGGTGAGTGTGGCAAGGGTCTGCCGGCGATTCTGTATTTTTCAGTTTTAATTGATTCCTGCATTGTCTTTTCGCTCCCTCTCTCTCCATTATTCTCCTGCATCCCATGCACTCTCGAACTCTTTCAGTCCTTACTCCCCTGCACTCCACACTTCGCTGTTGTTCCCCGCCCCCCACTCCCCTGTTTTTTGCCACACTTCCCACTCTCCCTTGCCCACCCTTTTCCATCTCATCTTTGTTTATGCTGCCTCTCCTGATTCTTGCCACTCCCCCCCTCCCCCCTCCTTTTCCACGCTCCTCTCCCCCACTGCAGCTGCACACGGCGCTGACCAACTGCGACCAGTGTAACCTGGTGGCACTGGAGGAAATCTGTTTGTTTTTGTTGCCCTGCTCGCTTCCCATTCCTCCCATCCCATGCCTCCCCCTTGCCCTTCTCCCCCTATGCCATGCAGCTGCACACGGCACTGACCAACTGCGACCAGTGCAACCTGGTGGTGCTGGAGGACATCGACGCCGCCTTCACGGCCGCGCGCTCCAAGGCGGACGGCAGCTGTGCGGACAGCCTCTCCTTCTCGGGGCTGCTGAACGCGCTGGACGGCATAGCAGCGCAGGAGAGGCGCATCCTCGTCATGACCACCAACCACATTGACCGCCTCGACCCCGCCCTCATCCGCCCCGGCCGCATCGACTTCCGCCTGCTGCTCGACCGCGCCTCCTCCGCCCAGATCGCCCGCCTCTTCCTCCGCTTTTTCCCCAACTCGCCTGCTTCTGACGCTGATGGTTTTGCAGTGCTGTTTCGCGAGCGGGCGGTGAGTCCTGCGGCGGTGCAGGGCTTCCTGCTGCTGCATAAGGACAACTCTGCTGCTGCGCTGGCTGCTGCTCCTGCGTTTGCCAAGGAGAGTGGTGCATCTGCTTCTGACTCGCCTGCTGTTGCCCTTTCTGCTGATGCTGCAGCAGGTGATGAGGCCGCTGCGTCTTCTGCTGACGTGAATGCCATAGACGCAGGCATTTCTAATTCAAGCAGCAGCATGACGGGCAGCCCTGGCAGGCTCACAGACAATCCTAGTGCAGAAAGCCCCATGTCCATCAACGGTGCAGATTATATAGCAGATGGTGATGAAGCTCGGATGGGCTGGATTGCAGTGGAGGAAGCAAGCGAAGGTGGCAGTGAGATTGGAGAGGGGATTGTGAGGCAAGCGAGTGGGGAAAGGGGACAGTTTGGGGGAGCGAAAAGCAAGAGTTTTTTTAGGCCACGGTCCGGGATGAGTGTGTTTGGAAGGGGGCGCTTGAGCAGGAGTAACATGAGAAGAGTATTGGGTGAAAGAGAACAGCAGTTGGGTTGGTAATGAGGGCTGACTGGATTGAAGGTATCCAGTCTGTTTGCTTTCTGCATGGGGTATTTGGATTGCTCCATGCTGTAACATTAGAGAGCCCATGTTTGGCAGGTGTTCTGTAACATACGGTATGTTGGGTTGAGAAAAGCCCTTAGGATTGTTGCAAGGCTAAGACCTTGAGTGGAGATGATGTAATCGCGGAATCGTTCTTAGTGAACTGTTGAACCACCTTGCACTGGTGTGTGAGAGCAAGAGATTGATTATACCAAAGTAATACCGTACCGTAATCCCCCGTATATAGGACCCCCCCCCAGTTGTAGACCCCCGGGTCCAGGCCCTACGAAGTCAGACTTTTTTCTCTGATTTGCACAAAAAACTCTGATATTTCAGTTTTTTTTTCCAGTGTACTATGTTAAAATCAGACCTTTTTGGGCCCAAACTCTGTAATTTTCAGACTTTTTTTAAGGCTAACTCTGAGAGTTTAGAGTTTTCTGAGAGTGTACTCTGATCATTCAGAGTACAGACGCGTCCTTGACTGGTGATTCGGACTTACGGGTCACAACAGATTCGCAATGTCAACGCAAAATCGCCTTGACACAGACAATACGAGCCTTACAGCACAAGATTTTCGCCCAATCATAGCAAAATCGCCCTGACACAACAGATTTGCGCTGTCAGAGCACAACAATTTTTGACTAATCATAGAAAACTCGCCCTGACATTGCAGATTCGCTCTTTCGCACCACAAGATTCGCCCTGACACATATATTCGCCCTGTCAGAGCATGTTTTATCGGAAATCCCATTAGTGTTGTGTGTTTCGGTAGCAGATGAATGAAACATTGATTACACTCCGATGAAACATTGAATACATTGTTTTTGAATGATCAGACTTTTTTTTTAGGACACTCTGAAATTTCAGCCTTTTTTTTTAATACCAACTCTGAGATTTTCAGACTAAAATTGTGTACTAGTCTGACAAATCAGACAGGCCAAAAACGAATCCGAGGGCCTGCCCGGGTCTATAATACGGACACGGGTACTCTATTCGAGTACATCTGAGTTATACCCCCTAAATGGCTCCTAACATTATAAGACCCCCCCACATATTAGAGAAGTGCGGATTTTACAAAAAAAAAATGCAATTGAAAAGGTAACGAATTTCGAATTTCAAATGAGTCAACACCCATTTTCACTGTGTTTGACTTTCGAAGGCTTCACTTGTTGCGCGTCCAGTCAGGATGAGCTGGCACGCGGGCAAAGTGACGTGCCAAATCTCTGTGCACAGTCAGGGAAACGCCCTCGCGCGATTCTGATTCAGGACGCTGTAAAAGTTCGATTCGATTTAAAGCCCGAGTACTACATGGCTGTTTTCATTTTCAAGATTCTTGAATATGAATTCGCCAAAAACCATGTTACCACCCGAAGTGGAGCATTCTCTCACGACAGTGATCTGTGATTGGCCAGCGACACTCAAAGTCATATCGAGATTACGGTCAGCAGGCAAGGCAGCACTGTTCACTTGAACTGAACTTGAAAACCATCTTGTACTAATTGTCAAGCATACTAGACATAGTTCACCCGTCATTCACGCCCAATAAGTCACTTCGTTTTTGCACACAACTCATGTTCGAACACCCGCAAGATGCTGCTGCTATATTCTCCCTGGTCTAGAGCTAGGTTGTTGGTCGCTTAGGTTCCCCCATTCGCCCTCACTTGCCCACGACGCTTTCAGTTCTTTGGCTCACGTTACTCGTGCGTTGTCCACGATCGCGCTCCCTTCTATTTGTCGCCCACACTTCCAACCGTCGCTCCCTTCCATTCGCCTCCCTCTGTTCCGCTCGTCGCCCTCCCTTCCGCGCGTCGCCCTGCTCGTCTCTCTGCCTTTCGCCCGTCCCCTCTCATCCGCTCGTTGCTCCACCTTCCACGCGTCGCCCTCCCATCCGAACGTCGCTCTCGTCACCGTCCCTTCCGCCCGTCGCCCTCCCTTCCGCCCGTCGCCCTCCCTTTCGCACGTCGCCCACCCTTCCGCCCATCGCCCACCCTTCCGCCCGCCGCTCTCCCTTCCGCCGGTCGCCCACCCTTCCGTCCGTCGCTCTCCCTTCCGCCGGTCGCCCACCATTCCGTCCGTCGCTCTCCCTTCCGCCCGTCGCCTTCCCTTCGTCTCGTCGCCCTTCCTCCCGCTCGTCCCCTCGCAGTCCCCGTCCTCCTCTCTCCCCATCGCCCTCGCCATCCCTCCCGTCTCCCTTCCCATGGTGCACACTTGTCACCCTTCCCTGCTTTCCCCCATCCCCTTCCCTGCTTCCCCCCATCCCCTTCCCTGCTTCCACCCATCCCCTTCCCTGCTTCCCCCCATCCCCTTCCCTGCTTTCCCCCATCCCCTTCCCTGCTTCCCCCCATCCCCTTCCCTGCTTCCCCCCATCCCCTTCCCTGCTCCCCCCATCCCCTTCCCTATTTCCCCCCATCCCCTTCCCTCCTCCCCCCATCCCCTTCCCTGCTTCCCCCCATCCCCTTCCCTGCTTCCCCCCATCCCGTTCCCTGCTTTCCCCAATCCCCTTCCCTGCTTTCCCCCAACCCTTGCCCTGCTTTCCCCCAACCCCTTTTCTGCTTCCCCCAATCCCGTTCCCTGCTTCCCCCCATCCCCTTCACTGCTTCCCCCCATCCTGTTCCCTGCTTCCCCCCATCCCATTCCCTCCTTCCCCCCATCCCCTTCCCTGCTTCCCCCCATCCCATTCCCTGCTTTCCCCAATCCCCTTCCCTGCTTTCCCCCAACCCTTGCCCTGCTTTCCCCCAACCCCTTTTCTGCTTCCCCCCATCCTGTTCCCTGCTTCCCCCCATCCCCTTCCCTGCTTTCCCCCATCCCCTTCACTGGTTCTCCCTTTCTCCCTGTTCCCTGTCTCCGTGTTAGCCATTTCACTGAACCTACTTTCCCCCACCCTCTGCTCTGCTTCCTCTCTACCCCTGCCCTGCTTCCCCTCATCCTCTGCCCTCCCTTTCCTTCATCCTGTGCCCTCCCTTCCCCTCATCCTCTTCCCTCTCTTCCCCTCATCCTCTGTTCTGCTTCCTTCATCCTTGCCCACTTTATCGCCTGTCCACTTTACCGCCTGCCCACTTTACCGCCTCAAATCCTTCCCTTCTCATCCGCGCGCAGGTGTGGCGGAAGGTGTACGTGGCGTGGAGCATGTTGGAGGAGCGGCTTGACGTGATAATCACTGATAACGCCATTCTCTGGCAAGTCAACCCGCTGCCAAGCCTAGGGGAGTGCCAACTCACGCCCCATCGTCGCCAAATGTGATCTTTGCCCCGCGTGCAGCAACACGCGCATGCTCAAGCTCTTCGACGACTGGAATCCCCCAGCACAAGTGATGAGCGTCGCTCTCTCGCACTCTCTCCCATCCGACATGCTGTAGTGCCATAACATAAGGCAAGCTCACTGTGCATGCCTCAACTGGTGCTGCACATTGCAGTGCTTGCGAGTCGTGACCATGGCAGTCTGTTGCCTGCCAGCACGCCAGAGGCACTCTTAGAGCACTCTAGCGGCTGTGAGAAATGCTTCCCTATGTACCTGAAGAAGCTGGGGTTATCTGTGATGATAGTGGTAGAAGGGGTGTATTGTGTATGCCCATATCTCGGTGTTGACCCGAGCTCTTCTTTGTGATGCAACATGTCAATACGGGCCCTATTGCGGTGGCTGCTGACGTTTCCGATTATGCAATTGGCAGTGTTGTGAGTGCAGCACTTCTGAGAAACCGAAGCCAGACGCCTCTCTATTCCTTTCAAGGGAATTTGGGTACCGTAACAGACGAGGATTTTCACAAATATCGTACGGTAATAGTAAGAGATGCAGTGAGCGCAATATGAACCTAGGTGTGTAAGTTATGGTCCCTACCAAACACATGCAACATAATTCGCCAAGGCCAACCATAGAACCCAACAAGTGGATTGGCATAAGGCGAGTCATACGTGGTGAGTATACAGCTCATAAGTCACTATGTTCAAGCTGGTAAGTAGCACTTCGGTGAAGCACACATGCCGGTCTTGAACGCACAACATCGTAGTCAACCTGCGCTAGAGCTGCGGCTGGTGGGAGGAGAACTCAGCAGAGGCGAAGGGCAGCGAGGCGGGGGGAAAGGCGGAGAGCAGCAGGAAGAGGCTGTGCGCCGCATGCAGCAACGACACAAACACGGTGAAAGCACGGTGAGGTGACACGAGCGCAAGGCAATGGCTCATAGCAGCGTCAGTCAAGTGGCTGCAGGTCAAATGCACACAGCAACCACAAGGCACGGGCACGTAGCAGCGGCATGTGCTGTCAAGAGAGGACAGGTGGGCTGCGGAGGCCTTACTTCCATCAACTCGTGTTGTTTAGGATAACGAAACAAACTCCATGAAAATGGCGGAAGGAGCCTGGTGTGCTTAGCTTGAAAGCGTTGTTGAGAGAGCCAGTTTAAAACAAATCTTCACGTAGCAGCGGCATGTAGCAGCACCGCTTAGCATCCGGTGACGGCTGAGGGCTCAAGAGGATCACAAACCATGGATGAAGGGAATGGGGAGGGCGAGAGGACGCCTCCCGTTCAGATGAGGTAACACCAGCATGGCAGCGGCACATAGCAGCAACGCACAGGAGCTGAGGTGACTGTTGAGGGCTCACAGAGATTGCAGGCCGTGGATGAATGGAGTGGGGAGAACACCACTCACGCTGCCACCGCCATGTGCATGCATGACGCCGCACAGAACTGGCACGCTCACTGCCACGTCAGCATGCAGCCAGTCGTGGTAGAACTGGCGCAGCAGCCGGTCCGCCTCCACCACCACCTGATGCGGGCGAGAGGGGGTGCAGGGGGTGCACGGAGGGAGGCATGGGGAGGCATGGGGAGGAATGGGGAGGCCGAGGGGACATAGGGGGCACAGCGGGCACAGGGTGAGGATGAACGGCAGTCAATTATGGTATCACAGGCAGCAAGCGGCCTGCTTCGTCCACCACCTGATGGGCACAGGGGTGCGCATGGGGGACCAGGGGGGACCAGGGGACAGAGAAGCACAGAGAGAATGTGAAGTCCCTGCACAGGGGGAAGCAGAGGGGAAAACAAGGAGGGAATGAGGAGAAGTGGAGGGGGGAAGGAGGAGAAGCAAAGGGGGGAAGGAGGAGGGGGGAATGAGGAGAAGCGGAGGGGGGACGGAGGAGAAGTGGAGGGAGGAAGGAGGAGAAGCGGAGGGGGGAAGGAGGAGAAGCGGAGGGGGGACGGAGGAGAAGCGGAGGGGGTATGAGGAGATCGCCTTTGGAGGGATGGCCAAGAGAGGGCAGGAAGAGGGGATGTGTGAGAGAGTTTTGTGAGAGTTCTGCCCATCTTCATTTTTTGCCGCGGCCCCATTTTGCCTTCACCCTGTGCTTCTCCACGTCTTACTCCACCGACCACTATCCCTGTGCGCGGAAGAGCAGGGGAGGAGCTTGTCAGAGGATGGGGGGAAGCAGGGCAGGGGGGGCGCGTTTACGTAGGGAATGGGATGGGGGGTACGGGGGCAGATGCCGGGGAGAGAGCAGGGCAGAGGATGGTGGGGAGCAGGGCAGAGAATGGTGGGAATAGGGAGAGAGGTAAGCAGGGCAGGGGGGGGGTATAAGTGGGGGATTGATGGGGATTGTTGGGTGGAAGGAAGGGAGTGAGTGGGGGGAGAGATGGGAGGGTGACAAATGTGCGAGATGGGAAGGGAGACGGGAAGGAAGGCGAGGGCGACGAGCATTTGATGGAACGGGGAAAGCGAGGAGACGGGGAAAGCGAGGAGACGAGGAAAGCGAGGAGACGGGGAAAGCAAGGAGACAGGGAGAGAGGGAACCCTCGCCTTTGCGACGGCGGACAAGGAGACAGGTTGACGGGGAAAGCGAGGGGACAAGCGGCAGGGATTGCAACGAGCGGCAGGGAGGGCGATGAGAAGAAGGGATGGCGATGGGAAGGAAGGATGGCGATGGGAAGAAGGGATGGCGATGGGAAGAAGGGATGGCGATGGGAAGAAGGGATGGCGATGGGAAGAAGGGATGGCGATGGGAAGAAGGGATGGCGATGGGAAGAAGGGAGGGTTACGGGCGGAAGGGTGGACGACGACGGGAAAGAAGGGCGACGGTGGAAGGGAGAACGACGGGCGGAAGGGAGGGCGACGGGCGGAAGGTACAGCGAAAGACGGAAGGGAGAGCGATGGGCGGAGGGGAGCGCTACGTGCGGATTGGCGAGCGACGGACGGACGGAAAAGCTCGTGACTCGGGCGCGCTGACGGGCGGAAGGAAAAGCTCGCGACTCGGGCGCGCTGACGGGCGGAAGGGAGAGCTACGGGCGGATGGGAGAGCGATTATCGGATGGGAGCGCTACTACGCGACGAGGGGAGGGGAGGCGCCGGAGTACGACGGGAAGCGAGGCACAAGGGGATGCCCCACGAAACGACGGGTGGCGTGACATTGTATGGCGCGACGGTGGGAGGGGAGGCGCGACGAGGGGAGGCACGACGAGGGGAGGAGAAGCTCGATAAAGAGAGGGGTGGCGCGACTTCTGACGCACTGAGAGGTGCGCTCCCACAATGACTAGTTTGTACATGCGCTTGTGAAGTTCCCTAAAACCTTTCGATTTCCTACAACGATGCGCTCTCGGGATGATTCCCTATCGCGCTTACCTATCATGGATTATTGCTCTGTCAGACATATGCATTTGATGTGACCAGCTATGGGCTTCTCACCCCAAGGAGACAGGTGTCGCACAGATGAGTGACGAATATCCCATCCGCTCGTTAGCTGATTTCGTCCTCGCTTGGTTTTTTGTCTTTCGCCAAACCCGTTAAAGCCATTCGAAATTTTTCCCAAAAACCATGCTGACCTCGGGCTTTAACTTACGAGACTGAAATGTACAGCATCGTGCATTCTTATAAATGTCAATATGAACAGACCCGGGTCTTCTTAAAAAATATACCATTTAATTATACCCCCCAGCCTTTTTAGGGGTGATTATCATAATACCCTAGGGTCTTATACACGGGGAATTACGGTATTCTCCCGGACAGAACACCCGGGGGTATTATGATAACCACAGGGAAAAAAGGAAGGGGGGGGGGGGGGGGGGGGGGGTCCTCTCAACGGAAAATCCTATGAAATACCTGGGTGGTTACATATGGCATATTTTAGTGTAAGATTATTTTTATATTATACAATTTGAGTGTTTCAATGGCCGTTTTAACATCAAAGCTTGAGGCGAGAATGTGAGTTACACATCTCGGGCCACTTGCAGCGGAAGATTCGCCAGCGTGGCGACAGCGAGATTGTGGGAGGGGGGAAATGTGTCAGAATGTCGATGTTTATCTAGCCTGCAGTGGGGTACTCTATAGCAAGTACAACCCAATTAGGGTTTCCTAAATGTATATCAACTGCTGCTAGTGAAAACCGCCTCTTTCCTGTTTCTGATTCTTGCCTAGTATTTCGACTTGCTATCAGAGCAGGTCGACCCTCCTGGGTCGATCCTGTGGATGGGCCCGCCACCTAATGCTTCCGCTGCTGTCCTGCCTATCGCGCGCCCCGGGCGCGCGACATGTTTTGCTTGCCGCGTGCTCGGGTGCACGGCGTATTTTTCATCCCGCCGCGCGCTCGGGGCGCGCGGCGGTCGGGGCGCACGGCGGTCTTCTGCCCCGTCGATCCGCGCGTTGCTCCCCGTCGCCCGTCGCAGCGCCCTCGGGAACCCGCGCGTCGCCCCCCGTCGCCCGTGGCGGCCCGCGCGACCTGCGCGAGGCCCGCGCGCGGCCAGTACAGCTCCGCGCGCGGCCCGTACGGCCTGCAGCTAGACCCGCGCGCGGCCTGTACGGCCTGCGCTAGGCCCGCGCGCGGTTCGTACGGGCTGCGCCAGGCCTGCGCGCGGCCCGTACAGCCTGCGCGCGGCCCGTACGGGCTGCGCCAGGCCCGTGAGCGGCCCGTACCGTCTGCCCTAGTGCCGCACGCCGTCCCCCGAGCTTCTGACCGCACTCCTGTGTTAGGGCTTGGGGGTGGAGAGTATGGGGGTGCCGTGCGTGTGAGCCGTCCCCTGCTCCTCCTCCTCCTCCGTTCCCCACTGCTGCAGCTGCCGCTGAGGGGGGCGGATTTGTTGGAGCCGTCGGAGTGGTACGAGGGGGGTGGCGTGTGAGCGGTGCTAGTGGTTCAGCAGGGGGTGTGTGAAAGGGGTGTGAGACAGTTGGGGGAAGTTGACCGGAGGTAGCCGACTTGTCGTCCGCAGCGCCTGAAGTCCAGAGAGCCACGACCCCCTGTGGCCGTGTAGTCCGGGGCTCTGCGCCCGGTAGCCACAGTGTGAGCACTCGTGGTAGTCTAGAGAGCCACGACCCCCTGTGGCCGTGTAGTCCGGGGCTCTGCGCCCGGTAGCCACAGTGTGACCACTCCTAGGAGCACAGTGAG